TTTTTGTTTCACATTACCTTATGTAAAATCTTTGGCGTTTATTGGATCTTCATTTTGCTGGGTGATGAATAATAATATGTAATTTGATTATTTTACATTTATTTTATATTTCAGTATTGTCCATGAAAGCAACTCTATTCATATTTCATCCATTTCGTTTATATGTATTACTATTTCACCTGCACATTTATATTTATTACGATTTCCTTTCATACTGTTGCTGCATTAAATATGGAAATTCATATACATCCTCGGCCCAAATAGTGACTAATTATTATTACCTTTATATTCATATTTTATGTGAAAATTTTAATTCTAATGAACGTAATAAATCTGAACGCGCGTGCTTCGTATCGGACATTTCCGCAATAAATTTTAAACTTTGTTAAAAAATGTACAATTTGTGATTAATTATAGCATCCCTTTTTTGCGAGTTGTTTTTTACTGGCTGTAACGAGATGGGATTTTGTCCTTTTGCTTTTTATGATTTTTCTAAATACTTTGCTAGTAGGGATTATGGAAAAAATATGCTTTTAGATTTATATAAAATTAATTTTATTAATTAAAAGGAATTAGTTGTTTGAGAAATAATTTATATATGTGGTATTTAAATAATCAATTTATTATAAACAATTACCATTTAATGCCATACTTTCAGAAAGCTTATAGTATTATTTTTATCAGTCATTTTTTTATTTTTTAAATATAATAAATTTTGTATATTTATTCGGCAGAAGTGACTGGTATAAGAAATCATACAAAATGGTTATTATATATGATCATTTTAGCATTTTTATTCATTGAGTACTGTGAATTATTTTGTTTTTGTATATTGAAATTTAGATTTATTATAACTTGTAATTTTTTTTATACCAAACTATTGATATTTGTGATCTATCGCAAGCTTAAAAGCAAACATTGTTTTTTTCAACTACAATATATTTTCTCTACTCAATAATTTAATCTTTTAGATATACTATTTATGATTGGATTGGCAACTGAGTAATTACATATTTTGCTGCTCATAGATAGTTTCAGTTAAATTTTTAGGTTTGCCGACCTATTCCAAATGTAAAACCCTTTTGTGGATAGTTATCAATCAGACTTTTTTTGATCGGTTTTTCGTCTGGGTTAATATATAGATTTTATTGTGGAATTTTCAAACATTATAGAAATTATTATAGAAAATTTGTAGTCTATTTTGTATTTGTAGTTCTGTAGTAAATATGACACCGCAAAACACACATTTAAGTGTTTTTTGCACATACATTTAAGCCAGGGTGAACAGTAATATAATTAGATCTCCCCAATAAATCAGGTTTAAGCACTTTCTCTTAAATCCCTCCTTTTAATGCAAACAAGTATAGGTTTGCCCTATTTGCTTAAAACACTGAAAAATCTGTTTTTTGTATATCTACTCTGTTTACTTTTAAAATTCAGTTTTTCAAACTGTTGAATTTGGGTTGATGATTTTATTTCACTATTTACTAATCTCCTTGCAATCTACTTTCTTCAATAAAATTAAAGCAACTTTAAGTTGGATAATTTCAGTGGTAGTCATAATCCTATATAGTTTATATTGTTCATCGACACATTTTTTTCATAATCTATATCCAACTGCATTCAATATTTTATATTTAACTTAGTTCATTTATACCAGCTGTTGCAATCCATCCATTGGAATAGTTATTTACACGATGAGCACGTACAAAATGTTAGAGAAAACTTGTTTTCAATATTACAGATTTTACCTTCTGAAAACTAATATGAAATGCCGGATGTTTCAACTTGGTGTGTTAATATACTCTTAAATATTAATACAATATAATACAACTTGAATATTAATACAATACGACTGGCTATATTTAGCAACTGTTCCTCTTTGACCTGCCTCAAGTGATTCGACCCGGACAGGAGGGATTTGCATAAAAATATCGATATGGATGCATTGAACTTTAATATATAATAATAATAATAATAATTTCGAATATATATTACTGGGATCGTAAACGAATGGTGAATCGTAAATTCTGTTATTGCAGACATTTGCTTATATATATTAACATGCATGTAATTTCATTAATTTCTCTAACTCACATAATATTTTCATCCATATTCCAACTAAGTGGGCATTTTCGTGGTTGTATGGTAAAATATTTGGCATTGCAATTCAAATTTATAGGTTTTATATCCATCTCGATACAGCCTGATATCAAGCAGTTTAAAGTAAATATAAATATAAAAATATGTTTACAAATGAAAATAGCTTTTCTCTAGATTGTTGCTTCTAATTAAAAATATCAGTATTAGAATATTGTCAGTACATTTATAATAACAAATATTTATTTATTTAATTGTTCGATAGCATCAATATGAAAGAAATAAATCATTCAATATGCTATAGAAATACTTTATATTGTTCATTGTTTTTCCGCTGATTCATTTTCTTTGAAAATCTTTTATTTCCCTTGTATTTCTAGAGATGACACTTCACAAAATCTAAATCAAATCTTTCAGTAGCCGATCTTATTGAAAATGTCAAAAATAAGAATTTGGTTGGATTGTCGTACTTTCTGTCATTCACTTTTTGATATTCAAAGCATCTATATGTTTTTGACAAGTCAAATTCTATGAAATGTGCATATTTCGAAACATTTTTCTCGCTGAGAAATGTCTATATACGTAAAAGTTTGAATGGAAGATAGTAGTATATCCGAATCATCGATCTGCTGAAGACAATTGAAATAAAAATAATTATTAGAGATATATTGGCCATATTTACAATTCAATCTAATGAGTTATTTGTGAGGATGAGGTTTTTGATCATAAACGTGGTATGGATGTTAATTGTATATCTGAACCAGTGATCCTACTGAAGAATGCATAAATATTTTTTGCTATATTTATAATACTATTTAACCTAATAGGCTAATAATATCCATCAGAGCATGATAGATACAATACCTACTCTTTTTTGTAATAGGCTCATAACTATCGAAAGATCAAGGCATATATCCTGAACTTTTTAGGCGTGTCCAAAGTTGCTACAATTGTTTGCAAAAATTTTTTTTTTTGGGATACAAAAATTTTTTGGAAAAAATTTTTTTTTTATTTTGGACATAATTGGCAAATCTAATTTTTTCAAAGCAATCGCACTGCGAACTGCTTAGAGACGAAATGTCAAAGCGCGCATGTGCCGCGCCGCCGTCTAACGCATAAGCATTGGTACGGAACCCATAAAAATGTAAAAAAAATATACTTATTGTTAAAATCTCTATAAAATATCTGATAATTTGATGTGCATATGTCTAATTAATTTTTAACCGCCGAACGGCATTATTTTTTACTTTTTTCATTAGATCTCCGAAACCGCTAGACCTACCTCCATGAAATTTGATCAATTCTACATCTTGTCAATACAAGTAAAATGTTTTTTGAATTATTCAAATCGGACGCTCCGTTCTCTTAAAACGGAGGTACCGTTCTTGTCACTTTTGCCCCTTCGAACTCTTCGAACGGCTAGACCTGCCTTTGCCAAAAACTAATCAGCACGTCTCCTTATCAA